CGGTGCGTTCGTCCTCTGGGTTGGTCTGCAGCATTAGACCTGATGGACGCGTATTTCCATGTCTCCACTCTTCCTCGCCACCGACAGTTTCTGCGGTTTGCGTTTGAAGGTCGAGCTTGGCAATACAAAGCCCTCCCCTTCGGGCTCTCTCTGTCTCCGCGGGTCCTCACCAAGCCCCTTCGGCTCGCGGGCATCTGCATACTCAATTTCTTTATGACTGGCTGATTTTTGCCCTCTCTCGGAGCAGTTGATTATGCACAGAGACAAAGTGCTCTGGCACTTCCACCTGTGGGGGTTTCAGGTCAACCGAGAAAAGAGCAAACTCGCCCCCGTGCAGAGGATCTCTTCTCTCGGGCTGGAGCTGGACTCGGTCACCATGGCAGCGCGCCTCTCCGGAGAGCGCGCTCAGCTGATGCTGTACTGTCTGAGAGAGCTCGACAGTAAAATAGTGGTCCCACTGAAACTATTTCAGAGGCTCCTGGGGCATATGGCATCCGCAGCCGCTTCATGCCGCTCGGATTATTCTATATGAGACCACTTCAGCACTGGCTTCACGATCGAGTCCCCAGACGCGCATGGCACGCGCGCGCACATCGAGTCTCTGTTACTGCGCTGTGTCGCCGCGCCCTCAGCCCTTGGAGCGACCCCTCGTTCCTACAGGCCTGGGTGTCTCTAGAACAGGCGTCCAGTCTTGTTGTCGTTTCAGCAGACACTTCCAACACGGGCTGGGGGGCTGTGCGTTGCGGGCATGCGGCTGCGGACCTGTGGAAAGGTACCCAGTTGCATTGGCATATCGCCTGGAGCTGTTGGCAGTGTTCCTCGCTCTCCACCGTTTTTTTCCGGTGCTGGAGCGGCAACACGTGCTGGTCAGGACGGACAGTACGGCGGCGGTGGCGTATATCAGCCGTATAGGGGGTATGCGCTCTCGCCGCATGTCTCAGCTCGCCCGCCGTCTGCTCCTCTGGAGTCATCCGCGGCTGAAATCGCTGCACGCCATTCATATTCAGGCAAGCTCAACCGTGCAGCCGATGCGCTCTCACGGCAGCCTTGCGTCCTGGAGAATGGAGACTCCACCCCGAGTCTGTTCAGCTGATATGGGCGCGATTCGGGGAAGCCCAGATCGATCTGTTGCTTCCCCCGAGATCGCTTATTGCCAGTTGTTCTTTCCCTGACCAAGTGCTCTCGGCACGGATGCACTGGCTTACAGCTGGCCTCGGGGCACGCGCAAATACGCGTTTCCCCCAGTGAGCCTGCTCGCGCAGTTACTGTGCAAGGTCAGGGAGGACGAGGAACAGGTTGCTGGTTGCGCCCCTCTGGCTCAACCGGACCTGGATGTCAGAGCTCTCCCTCGCGATAGCCCTCCCCTGGCAGTCCCTTCGAGAGAGCACCTACTCTCTCAGGGACAGGGCACCACCTGACACCCTCGCCGATCTTTGAAGAGATTTTAGACGCGAGGAAGACTTAGGTAACCTCCGATTGCGGTGGCTAATACCGTCACTCGGGCTAGAGCCCCCTCCCCGAGCGCGCCTATGCCCTGACGTGGAGTCTATTCACTGAATGGTGTGTCTCTCGCTGAGAAGACCCCCGTAATTTGCCAGATCAGTGTTGTGCTTTCTTTACGCCGAGAGAAGTTGGAGAGCAGGCTGTCGCCCTCCACACTCAAGGTTACGTGGCTGCCATCTCCGCTCTCATAACGCGGTGGCTGGCGGCACCGTGGGAACGCATAACCTCATCATCCGGTTCCTCAGGGGCGTTAAGCGAATTAATCCACCCCGCCCCCTCTCATGCCCTCTTAGGATCTCGCCCTCGCTACACAAGCCGCGTCAGATCCCTTCGATCCTCGACTCAGTATCTTTCTGTCCCTGAAGACAGCTCTGCTGGTCGCGTTGATATCGATTAGAGGGTCGGGGACCCGGAGGCATTTTTCGGTCAGTGACTCATGCCTGTAATTGGGCTGGCTTCTCTCACGTCCTGAGACCCCGCCTGCGATATGTGCCCAAGGTTCCTACCACTCCGTTTTAATACGAGGTAGTGAGCCTGCAAGCGCTGCCCTCGGAGGAGGCAGACCCAGCCCTTCTTATTGTCCAGTTCGCGTTTTGCGTATTATCCGGACCGCATAGATCATCTGAGCAGCTCTTCGTCTGTTATAGCGGTCGGCAGCAGGGAAGTGCCGTACTGAAATAAGTTCCCACTAGATTGTGGATGCCTTTCTTTCACTATCAGAGCCGAGATGAGCCGCGTCCCCCGAGAGCGCGTGCGCACTCCACTCGGAGCTTCGCATCCGCTCGAGCGCGCGCACGCGGCGCCCCTCTAACAGACATCTGTAGAGCTGCGGGCTGGGTGACACCCAACACATTTGCAAGGTTTTACAATCTGCGAGTGGAGGCGGTTTCCTCAAGGGTATTAGGTAACCCTTGGTGATTGAGGAAACAATTCGGTAGGGTGTTGAAACACGCTTGCTGCGCCATTTTCCCTAACACGGAGATACGTGCGCCTTTTTATCTGTCAGTAAAGTTCCCCTTCAGGTGAGCCCTGCAGATTCCTCCGTGGCCCCCAGCACTGACTCAGCGGAGGAGTCACTTGCTGGCCCACTACGTTGTAGGTCTGCCCGCTGGTCAGCCCGCGTTTTGGGTAAGGTGCCTGCTATGCGTGATCCCCACTAGGCGATCCCATATGCTTATTCCGCCACAGTTAAGTCCCCCCCCTGGGCGGACCCGTGTCTTCCCTCCTCGCTAACCACTCTTTTGCTATGCGTACTCCCCCTTTTTAGGGCTAGTCCATATGTAAATTCTGCCATCTATCCCCCCTTATGTAACGGATGGCCTCCGCAGCGTCCTCCCTATCGGGATTGCACGCTTCCCAACGTACTGTCGTATTTTCCTAGAATTATCTAGATGCTCACGACTTCCCAAAAAAATATATATAAACCCGTAAAACTTCTGTTGAAGTAGGATAAATTAGGGCCAGGGACACGTTGGAGGACCGCGCCCCCCATGATATGGGTGCGTCACGCTTGCTTGACTATCTCCTCATCGGGGGTGTTGGTAAGGTGCAGTCATTATGGCGCTTTCAATGGGCTCCCAATGCGTGGATTTTACAATCAAATCCACTTATAGTGCTGAAGTTCCCCCCGAAGGGGAACGTTCGAGGTTACTAAAGTAACCCTTCGTTCCCCGAGGAGGGGAACGGAAGCACTATACTCCGTCGCCATAATGACTGTCCCTTAGCTGTTGAAAGTCTCTTCAGCTTAAAAAGGATAGCGTCTGCTGGCGCCAGGTGAGCTTATATACTCAGTTGATTGCTTATGCCGCTCACCTGCGCAGGCTTGCGCTGCCAATTCATTCTTAATTGGCCCGTTCAATACTCTTTCAGACAAGTAGCTTCTGAACCGAACCTCCCTATGCGTGGATTTTACAATCAAATCCACTTATAGTGCTTCCGTTCCCCTCCTCGGGGAACGAAGGGTTACTTTAGTAACCTCGAACGTTCTATGGCAGAAGGGCTTCACACTCGGATGAGCTCGCAGGCCGATCTGACTTACAGTTACAACAATCGAACAATTATACTCTTTACACAAGTCCAGAAAGGGTGGGATCCAGGTAAACAGTCCGCATTGGTTACAACAGAAATAGACAATTCTAAATACATACGTCAAAGAAACATAGTATCTACTTCCAGATATGGACGGCCTTAATGTGTGCGTCAAAGAAAGCATTGTATCTGTCTCCAGATATGGATGGCGACATGATGCCTAGAGGTGAGGTCGCCCTAAGTTATTAGGAGCTGATCTCCGACCTGTAAAAAAGCTTAACAATGAAAACAATAGAGACAATCGACCATCTGTGTTAAAGACTCAAGGATGTTTCTTGTACGTTCAGCTGTGTTATCAGGCTGGTTCAAGACTGTTTCCATCAACAGTCTGCTGCAATATCTTTACTACACACAGTCTGTCTCCACACAAAAAGGAATTACATTAAAATAAATTATACTCAAAAACAGATAAATCAAACAGCTAAAAAATTATAGGCAATATATTAGGACAACTAGAACAGGTGTCTTCTTCTCCTCTGTATTGGACCTCCAGTCATAGGAACAGATGGAGAGAGAGGTCTCCATGACCTATGACCTGGTTTGTGTGTCTCCTAAAAACAAAGTTGAAATAGACAGGCAAAAAAAGAAACAAGGACACAGAACATTCTTGCAGGAAGCAGTTTTAACTTATTCATTAGTCAAATCAATTCAAGTTAAATACTCATTCAGATAATCAATTAAATATATATTCAAAGAGATGAGAGACATGATATTTAATAAAAAGGATAAACGCTGAATAAATGTTGATGGATTGGAAGGTAGAACTCCGACTCCTTCAAAACAAACTTGACTGGGCTAGCAGGACAAGGCAGGGCTGGAAACAACAAGACAGAGAAATATCAATGACGAACTGGCACAGGACAGCAGACATGAAGGGATTATATGCAGGGCTAATTTAACACACAATAACTCATTAACCACGCGTTCATGACAACACAAGCACGCAGTGCATGTAAAGACGCACCACGTACTAAACACAACACCAACAGAAGACTGCACATAAGACACGAGTACACGATGAAAGAAAGCACTCACCGTGCACTCACATACGCAGCGTGCACGTTTCATCCCAGCGCCGACCAAAACCGAAACCAACTGGACTGAGACGCTGGGAATGAAACACCACGCTGCAGACAGACGAAAACACAAACACGAGTACAAGAGCGCGCGCGTCCAGAGACACACAATGACAGAAACAGGACAAGACAGGACTAATGTCTGGACTCTGCCACTAAAACAAGAATTCACAAGACCATAGTGGCAGAACCCTGACAAGAAGATGTAGATTTTAATACTCTTGAAATATGTCCATCCTCTGCCAGATCATGCTGATGGAATCATATGACACAGGTTGTTGTGTGGATTGTACTCTAATTTCAGGTCCAACCAGTTTGTGCTGTAGAGTTACAAGCACTTTCATTTAATAAACATCCAGCAAAGTATAACCACTCGACTGGAACAGTTTATATTTTAATGTTCTGTTAAATGTGTTGTGAAGATGGCAGACAGCAGCCCATCATCTAGAAAGTCTGGTAAGTCTTCTTAGTTCTGTTCAGAATTTTGTGATATTGATAAAAGTGTATCGAGGCTTATGGATTCAATGTTCAGATAATGATGTTTGAAGAGTAACTTAATATTATATGAAGAAATAACTTTATATTGTTAAAATACATGGCAACATGAATGATATTTTTGTACATTTAAGCACTATTCTTTATTTTGATTATTTAAAATATTTTTAAACAAATGAAGGTCAGGAACATTTAGAAGGAGGAAGTCGTAGAAGAGGAAACAAACACTAATTCAAAAAGTTTATATTATTTTAGCCTGAAATAAAAAAGAGCTTTTCCATTTAAGTAATTTCATAATTGTCTTATAATATATTGATTACATGAATATTTATTTGTTTTATTTAATAATTGAATAAAGTTGAAAAAAAAAAAAAAACAGCAGATCTCACTCTTGGTTGTGTAATACATACAAAATATCGTTCCATTAACCCTCAGGGGTCTGAGGGTGTTTTGGGGCTCTGGAGAAGTTTTGACATGCTCTGACATTTTGTTGTTTTCAGTATCTTAAAAACAATTGTGCACAAGACTTTTGAGAACTGGATCTTGTAAAAAACTGTAGCCCAGTTTTTTATTTATTTTTATTTATTTATGTATTTATTTGCTGCAAAATGATGTGAGAATCATCTCGTTTACTTGCGCACAGAAAACATTATAATGAATAAATATTTCTAAGTCACTCTCTGTATGAAATTGGTTTATGCAAGAAGGCGTGAACTATCATTACTATGCAGTGAGTCACACCTGAAGACAAAGACCTGCATAATGAGCTGCATATTGAGCCATCAGACAGGTACAGTATGTGACTAAAAAGGAAGATTTTTTTTTAAGAAGGAAACAAAGGAAAGTTTATATACTTTTTTTGTTTGCAGTTTATTTAAAATATATTAATCACACAAAATAACTGGAGATACACTCATGAGAGTCAGTACACTTTCTATAAAACTCTTAAAACTTTATAAACTTACATATAGCAAATCTACTTTAAAAAAAATGTATATGAAGAGTATCGTTGCAAAATGAGATATATCCTTTTTGAGAAATGTTGGTTATTTGACATTATTATTTAAGACATCAACAGTCAAGTTCATTTACAATTTCATACATTAAACTATTACTTGAGCTCAGTGAAGTCCAGCAACACAATATTCTTCAAATCCAGGATATTTTTTATTGAACTTTATGTCCATAAATAAGTAAAAAACATGCCAAACTGCAACATATTATCTTAACATTGTCAAACATCTTAAACTGGTTACAAAAAAACAAACAAAACAATACATCATAATATATGGAATAGTATATACAAAGATTATTAATAATAATACGATTCTGAGTTTGTTTTCGACTTGATATCAAGCTTTATATAGATATAATAAATCATCGTCTTTGTTGACTATTTGCCGAGTTTGCTTTCATTTTAGTGACGTGTTTTTCTGACCACCGTCTGCTCGCATCTTCAGACGCTTGTAATAACAATGCCTTGTGGGCGTGGTCGCATTAAAACTAATGAGATCAGACTGAGAAACTAGACATAGCGTTGATTTCATACTGATTACTTTATCAAGCTATGTTTGTTTTCAACATGCATAGCTGCATCTAAAAGTAGGCACTTTAAGCTTTATAGAAATGCATGTCTCATTTGTGTGCGTTTTGTATTCGCGGAGTTTCAGTGCATTTTACTGACGCGTTTATAAAAGCAGATCACGGAGAGAGAAAAGACAGAATGCCTACACTTTTTGTTTTCCTTATTTTGCAAAAACACACACGTTTGTTGTTGTTGTGAGTGTACACAACAAAAAGTAGACACATAACAGATTCAATTGATGTATTGATCTTATCTGTACGATCCAAACTGAAAGTGTAATTTAAGTTCATTTCAGCAGTTTGACGACACCACAGGTCAAAACACGTATAGGCGGTCTTCAACCCTAGAGGGTTAATATGAGGCTAATAACTATTGTTAAGACTATTACATTTCAAGGTTCCAATTTTTTTTCTTTAACTTTTTCTTTATCACATTTTGCTCTAAATATCCACCTGACACTCTTTTTCCTGACAAAGTCTTGATTTGCCCAGGCCATAATTACTTAGTGTTTATTACAGAAAAAAAACTTTAAAGTTTAAAAAGTTTTAATCTACACATTTAGTGAATTTTATGTGACATCATACCAAAGTAGCTAAAGTAGCAGTGTTAACACTTTACAATAAGGTTCATTAGTTAATGCATTTACTAACATTAACTAATCATGATTAACACATGTACAGCATTTATTAATCATAATTGAACATTTACTAATGCATTATTAACATTCAAGTCCATGCTTGTTAACATTAGTTAATGCATTATGAGTTAACATGAACTAACAATGAACTACTGTATTTTCATTAACTAACATTTACTAAAATGAATAAATACTGTAGTACATGTATTTTTCATGGTTTGTTCATGTTATGAAATGCATTACTAAACATTAACTAATGGACCTTATTGTAAAGTGTGACCGTAGCAGTTAAGTCATTGCACCTAAAAGTGTGCACGGAATAGCAATAACTAAATAAATATAACAACTTCTTAAGTTGAATGGCTTTTTGTTGCAGCCTGAAAGGATCATTTGAATCAGCGAATCATAAATTTCTAGCCCAAAGCCATAGTCACGCGAGGGAAGAGGCGGTATAAATTAAGATGACCTAACACTGATAAAATGAGCGATTGCTCCATAATTCAAATGTATTTACATAGAGGCACATTTTGAGGAACATTTTGATCATAATTGAACATGCTCTCTCACATTTATATGAAACAAATTCACAGGTCAGAGTTCACCAAGCTGAAATTTTATAATGCATCCGCATGAAAAGTTTGTCGCATGAGCTTGCATTTACAGTCTGGTGCATTTGCATATGCATGAAAGGCAATGGGGCAAAAAGTACAGACTGGTTGCGGAATAATACTGGGATCTTATGCCCACGTTAATAGCCTTGATACAGGTGTATGTTAGTGTAGCAGAAAGAAGTAAAATCAACATTTGTTACTGGTGCAAAACTCTTCTACGGTACACATTTGTCAGTTCTGAATTGAATTGCAGATGTTAAACCACGTGCCTTGGTCTTATTTTCCTCCTCAGGCCTATAGGGAACATAATACATCCATACGTACTAACTGTTATTTGTATTTTGTGTTTGTGTAGAAATCAATAGAAGTCAAAGTCCACCTGATGACCGTCCCAACCGTAAGTCAGAATGATTTGTGTAATAACTTTAGTTAGTACTATTGAAGTGCTACTCTATAATATTATGAGATTACTTAATGGCTACTTATAGCTACAGTAAATGCGATATCTTGATGCTGTTGTGAGTTTATCATTGTTAAGGGGTATTTGATCTCAAAATACATTGATTCAGTAATATATACCATTTTGTACACAGATTTCAAATCATTTTGTTGTAATGTGTTTCAGTGAGTGATCTGAGGATTGTCCTGTTGGGGATGAGTATGTTAGAAAACAACAAAGTGGGAAACCTAATCTTAGGTAAAAATTTGTTTGGAACGAAAACACCATCAACTGATGAAGAGCACATTGAAAGAGTGGAGGACAGAAACATCACCATCATTAGCACTGACCTGCTCAAAACAAACCTTACAAAAGCAGCAGCAACACAGAAAGCATCAGAGCTGTCTAATTTTAATCCTGATGTGATCATTCTGGTGCTGCAGCACAATGATTTCACACAGTTTCATAAAGATCGAATATCTTCAGTGCTGATCGACATGGACGAGCAGGCAATGGGGCACACAATGATTCTGACTACTGATGACAAGAAACACAGCAGTAAACTATATTCTGTGAAAGAAAATAAACTTTTTCAGCAGTTATCTGCAGAGTGTGGAGGAGGACGCCTTCAACTACTAAACACACAGCGCTCTGATATACTTCAGAAAGTAGATGAAGTAATCCCCCATAGTCGTCAAGAGACACAACTGCAGTCATCACTGGATTTAGAGTACAGTAAGTGTACTGCTACTATAAATATTGCTGCTGAGAGAGGGAAAGTATACAGTTGTGTGTATATAAAATATTTACAATCTCTAACACTAAATTGGCCAGTGTTTGGTTCATTGTCCAACCCTGTGTGTTGTAGAAGTCCATCTATTAGCCCAATAAGGAAACTAACAGCATGGTTGAAGGTTTCTATGCATGTAAGCCTTTTCTAGTGTTTCTGAAAAGAATTCTGATATTGATTAGGATTTATTTGTATTAGTTTTTTAGCTCCAAACTTAATCTGATTCCAATTTTAAGTGACCGTTAACTTTAGACTGTATTTCTAATTGTAAGAACGGATCACATTCATTGTTTATGACTTAATTTAGAGTTTTGATCTATATTTGATCCCGTACTCTTCAGTTATACGTTCATTAGGGACCAAACACCGCTCAGAGTTTCATGCCCTGGGATTGCGTTTTTTCTAATGGACAGTATCTTGACTATGAAGTTAGTCAGATGATGTTGGGTTAGCTAATACTTATATAGTCTGGTTGCCAACTGCTCACTCATCTTAAAAGAGTAGTTAATGTGGCGCAGATGGGGAACTAAGGCTTTTTGTTGTAGAAAGACCAACAAAATAACTAACACACTAGAGCCAGATTACCACAGAAATTATTGCAATTAAAGCATGACTACTCCACCCAGTTCATTACCTGAAACATGAAATACAGGTTCGAACCTCTTCTAACAAAAACAATGAGATGTCTGATATGCTACACACCAGATGCATGGCAGCGACACACCCACCACAGTGAGTCAGCTGAACGATGCTGCAATTCCCCCCAGATGAAAGTGTATCATGCCAATTACAGAATCAAAGAATAAAAAGACATGTACAACAGAAATGTACAACATTAATTACTTAAAGATAAATCCAAGAGTTAGAGATAGATGAAGAACGCTGCAGCATATAAGTCTTGAATCAAAGCTCAGAAACTCATACACTGCAACGATGTGTCTTGCCTACAAGATTCCAATGACATCTTTGCATCTTTCCCTTAAATACTCAACTCAGAAAAAAAACAGCCTTAAATTCAAGACAATAAAAGCTTCACAAAGTCTCTTTTGCCTGGTAGTGAGTTTGAGGTGTCAACCATTTGCTCTGGGGTGGAGCATCTGGCAAAAGATTTTATTAATGCCAATAAACAGATCGACATTTAAGTAAAATTGTGAAATATTACTGTAAAATTAAGACCACTTTACCAATTACACATAGACATTTAAGATGATACCAAACATGAAAATTGAGTCACAAGATGTAATGTAATGTGTATTTATTAACACATTACATTACATCCTACATTACATTACATCTTGTAGCTTTATGTTCATGTTTGGTATAGACAAACCATATTAAATTCAAGATAGATACAATATATACCATATTAAAACCTTGGACATTCTGTGTGGAATGTGTGTGATCTGCTCTGGTGGAAAAGGTAACGTAAAGGGCAGGAAGTGTGGGAGAAATAGAACAGTTGAACAACTGGTTTCCTGATCTTCTTCTGACAATTTTTGTGGTCTCGCCTCGGGAATTCCACAATAGTTCTTAGGGTTTGATATTATCTTAGCCATCCTTGCAGTATATTCATTCATTCATTCATTCATTTTCTTTTCAGCTTAGTCTCTTTATTAATCAGGGTTCGCCACAGAGGAATGAACCGCCAACTTATCCAGCATATGTTTTAAGCAGCGGATGCCCTTCTAGCTCAAACTCTTCACTGGGAAACACCCATACATACTCATTCACACACATGCACTATTATAATGGCACTCTATTATCCAACTTTTCTTTATATAATGATACAATATGGAACAACGGTCAAAAACTGTATCACTCCGTCTCTTTCTCTCTTTTCAACAAGGATATGACGTGATCAGTCATCAATAAGGAAAGGCATAATTAAAGCATGCAATAATAATTTAATCATTATTTTGATTGTAGACAGTATAAATGCAATAAACCAGTGGTTCTCAAACTTTTTTCATCAAGTACCACCTCAGAAAAAAATTGGCTCTTCAAGTACCACCATTAAAATGAGTATTGAAATACAGTAGCGTAGTTGGCCCAGTTAAGCAGCTACAACTCTGCACAGTTAAAAAACGTGGCAGATTACCTCAGAAATATAGGCTATATGTCATATATTACATATTATATGCATAATTTTTGATACATTTTGAAATGTGTGAAGCATGTACATGACATATTTCATTTCTCCGCGTACCACTAGAAGGAAGTCTGCGTACCACTAGTGGTACACGTACCACAGTTTGAGAACCACTGCAATAAACAAATAAAGATAACTGTACATAATATTTTACAATTTGCATAATAAAAATGCCTCTAATAACTGACAATATTAGCTTACCCAATTCACCTATAGGAAGGAAAATCTGTGCCAACACGGGGAGAACATGCAAACTCCACACAGAAATGCCATCTGACCCAACCGTGGCTTGAAACAGCGACGTTCTTGTTGTGTGGCTACATCGCTACCCCCGGCATTGTCCCCTTGCAGTGTGTGTGTGTGTGTGTGTGTATCTATCTATCTATCTATCTATCTATCTATCTATATATATATATATATATATATATATATATATGTATATATATATATATATAGTTTTTGATGTCTCACCATTTTTCTATGGTGTGACTTTCTCAAGCATAGTTCAATGTATTACATTATATCAAATTTATAAAATATTATTTTAATTGTATAAAAAAAATTTTTTTCATCCATATATTTCTAAAAACAAGAACTTGATACATTTAGTCACTTAAAACCACAGGCCTCATGTACAAAGACTTGTGTTGAATTAATACTAAAACATTGTGTACGCACAAAGCTGTAAATGTGCAAACACAGTAAAAAAAAAAAAAAATTCAGATGTATGAAAGACTCCGTACGCGGAATTCCACGCATATTCTGTTTGTACATCCGAATGAATGTGAAACTGAGCGCACGTGCACGAGCACAAACCCCCTCCCTGCCCCCTCCCCCGTATGAATATGCTAATGACTCCACTTTGGCAAAACCAAACAAAAAAGCAATGGCAAAAGCAAGCAAGAAAAGAAACTTCACAGAATGTGAATTGGAGATGCTCCTATTGGAGGTAGACCAGAGAAAAACTGTGTTAAAAAAATACACAAAACTGTGTGAAAAAAATAAAGTGGGAGAGTTTAGCTGACACGGTTAACGCAGTGGGGCCTGAACATCGCACTGAGTGAATTAAAAAAGAAATGGTCCGATGTAAAGGTGCAGGTTAAGAGGAGAACAGCAGCGCACCATCAAAGTGTAGAGTGAACAGGCGAGGGAACAGGGGATGCTGAACTATCACCCTTTGAGGAGAGAGTTGCCTCAATTGTGGGCGACACTTTACCATCTGGAGTAGTGTCCGTGTCTTTGGGAGACACAGATGTATCAGAGGAACACTGTTAGGGTGGTATAGCAGCACCCCTCCGCTCTTATCAAGGCAGCGCCACCGGCATTTCAGCTGCCCAATCGCCCGCTCTACAACTGACCGAGTACGAGAATGGCCATCATTGTATCTGCGCTCTTGGTCAGTTTGTGGATTATTGAAGGGGGTTAACAGCTACGTCTTTAATGGATAACTACGGTCTCCTGATATGCAGTCAAATAATTGCACTCAAAATAAAAAATAAACAACTTAGCTGGAATAATATCTTTAAATACATCACTCACCAAGACACATCGCGCACCCTGCCGCCTTGCAGCCTCATCCAAACCATGCTGTTTGTGGATGAATGAATCATGGGTTGACCCAGACCACCTTGCCACAATATTTATTGTGTGCATTTGAGCATCACTTTTTTTGCACATTTTTTAAACTTGCACATTTATTGAATGGAAATGTTTCCGATTCACGTATGCAAATTTGTCTTCAGAAGGTACCTTTATAGCAATGTGCGTGCAATCTATCGCTTCGATTACATTAGGACAGTGGTTCTCAAACTGTGGTTCATGGAGGAATCACCAGATAATTAAATAAACTAACACTTTTAATTCTTTGATATGTACTATAACATTGATGTGATCAGCATTGGCTGTTTTGTGAAGTGTATGATCACAGCGCTGTGCTTAGAAATGTTGATTTTTGTGCATTGTGTCATAAACTGCTAAAATTTAGTTTCCAAAGTTTAAGAATGGAGTCTGAAGCGTGATTTGTCTGACATGAAAAGTGAACAATCACAGTCGACCTTGTCTAGTTTTGCGTGAAATGTAAGGGCGGGACAAAGGCTTTCTGTGTTGCAGAGACAGAAAAAACACTTAAATACAAATGTTTTTGTTGATTAATGCTTCTCGGATGTTTTCACTATAGAGATGTCTAGCAGAGTAATTAAACCGCGGACATATTTCCTGCCTTTTTGATGATCTACATACATGTTTCACTCCCCGACAGCGAGTCGACTCACCTGACCTGTCACTCACTGCTCTAAATACATTCTGAATGGCGGCGCGGGAATAAAGGTATTGCGCAATAACCCATTTCTGCAAATGTGGCGAGTGCTTTATTTTAACATGAGATTGCAGTCATGTATGCAATTATAATGAAGTCATTTGTTTTATTTTATTACTGACAGTGTACTTGTATTTTTTTTGTAAAGTTTGTATTTTAGTTTAAGATCAAGTGTAAAATAAAATCTACATGTTATGTACAGCTATTTAAGAAACAAATTTGCCATATTGTAAAGAAAAATTGTGTGAAATATGCAAATAAAAGGCTAAATTTAAATCTTTTCATCATATACTTTAATTAAACCTTTCAAAGCTTTAAAAGCATTTAGTGCAGGTCTATTATATTATTAATATATGATTAATAAATATTATTATTAATGGTTTTTATTTGTATCAATTCCTATGCAATGTTTTATATGTTGCTGAGAATACATTTTAGGTCTTCAATACATAGCATGTCAGTCTTGAAAATAAAATAAAAAA